TTAATTATTATTTTCTGAAAGCAAACAATTAAAAAAACCGTTTGGTTCCATACTTTATATTCATCCTGTATGTTTTTTAATAATTATTCAATAAAGGCACAAAAGCTTTTTTCAATAAAAGCCACAAATAATGTTAATGTTAATTGTAACTATACAATTCACAATTCAGGATATAGCTTCTTTGTTTCAACTTTTAATAGCCTGTAGCAAAAACAGAAATATACAGGGTGTTTCAGAATTCGCGTCCCAGAGAAAAATTTCGAGTAAGATAAGATACCAGGAACATGAGAAATGTGTTAAAAAAATCTATATGCCAAAAAATTTTGACATTTATTTTTTGACATTTTGCTTTTTTATGTCTACCGTCTATTTTTTTTATTTGCTGGTGAGGGTAGCGCGAATCAAGAATACGACATAATTAAAGCTTATATTTTTATAAGGCTTGAATTACGATTGTTATGATGATATAGAGGGTAAAAATATTGACCTCAAAACAATTTTGCTCATTAAAAATGACCTACGTGACGGTAAGACGAAAAACTTATTGATAAATAATAAAGTACTATAAAAATGGAATGTTTTATAAGAATAAAAATTTTCAAAATTTTCTAAAAAAAATTTTATTTTTTTAAATGGCAATCCATAAAACCACATTTCTCATCAAGGTTATGATTAAGGATTACAGTAATTTACTTTATATTTAATTTTATCAAAAATTCGTTTTCAAAATACGATCATATTTTTTTATATTACTTTAATTTATATTAATTATTATTTTTTGAAGGCAAACAATTAAAAAAAACCGTTTGGTTCCATACTTTATATTCACCCTGTATGTTTTTTGATAATTATTCAGTAAAGGTACAAAAGCTTTTTTCATAAAAGCCACAAATAATGTTAAAGATAGTTACAATTTAGAATTCAGGATATAGCTTCTTTGTTTCATCTTCTAATAGCTTGTATCAAAAAACAGAAATATACAGGGTGTTTCAGAATTCGCGTCTCAGAGAATAATTTTGAGTAAGATAAGATACCAGGAATAGGAAAAATGTGTTAAAAAAATCTATCTGCCAAAAAATTTTGACATTTATTTTTTGACATTTCACTTTTTTTATGTTTACAGTCTATTTTTTTTTATTTGCTGGTGAGGGTAGGGCGAATCAAGAACACGACATAATTAAAGCTTATATTTTTATAGGGCTTGAATTACGATTGTTATGATGATATAGAGGGTAAAAATATTGACCTCAAAACAATTTTTCTCATTAAAAATGACCTACGTGACGCTAAAACAAAAAACTTATTGATAAATAATAAAGTACTATAGAAATGTGATGTTTTATTAAGAATAAAAATTTTCAAGATTAAAAAAAATATATTTTTTTTAAATGGCAATCCATAAAAACATATTTCTTATAAAGGTTATGATTAAGGATT